GGACAGACCAGTGTAGACCAGCATGAGAAGCGGCGTTTTACGGGACAGACCAGTGTAGACCAGCATGAGAAGCGGCGTTTTACAGGACAGACCAATGTAGACCAGCATGAGAAGCGGCGTTTTACAGGACAGCTCCCTCAGGAAAGACACTGTCCTGGCTTGCACTGTTCCACACAGCAGCATCATAATGAGTTCCTCAATCTCCCCGGATCTCTGAGAAACGCTTTAGCTACAATTAGAGAGTTTGACCCATAGCCCCCCAGTTCCCCCGACTCTTTGATCTTTCAGCGTTTAAAAATGGAGGCGATGCTGCTAAATAGGGAGCGTGTAAATAATTCAGCCCTGGCAGAAAGAATGGCGCCATGCTTTATTCATTAATGTCACCCAGGATGTGGCATAATGTCAGAGCCTCTCATTACACTCCTGTTAAGTTGGAGAAGCAGAGAAGGGCCCACCAATGAGGTGTACCCAGAATGCACTGGGCTGGGGGCAGGTGCAGTAAAGCAGGAGGACCTATCTTTCATAGGACGCTCCCCAATATGATGCTGTTTCCTCACCCTTAGCCTGTCCTCACTCGTGTTGCTCTCTATAGAATCGCCAACACAAAATATCACCCCCTAGAGGGAAGCCATCCAAGTCACTTCAAATGAAAGCATCTCTGGTGACTGATTACCCAGCGACCTCAGTACTCACACAGTCCTGAATTCCCAGCGACCTCAGTACTCACACAGTCCTGAATTCCCAGTGACCTCAGTACTCACACAGTCCTGAATTCCCAGTGACCTCAGTACTCANACAGTCCTGAATTCCCAGTGACCTCAGTACTCACACAGTCCTGAATTCCCAGTGACCTCAGTACTCAGACAGTCCTGAATTCCCAGCGACCTCAGTACTCAGACAGTCCTGAATTCCCAGCGACCTCAGTACTCAGACAGTCCTGCTGCTCAGACAAGCATGCACAAACGCATGCATACATGCACACATGCTAACGCGCACACACAGAGACATGCGTAAAAATACATAAACAAATGGAAAACCCACAAAACCCACAAAAACCCACTAAGAATGAACCAGAAGATGACTGTGGACACGGAGCCTGTTAATGAGCCACAGCACAGGAAGGCAGCGATTCCACCATTTGTTTTCCTGTAATTCCAGCAAGGCTGACATAACACAGGAAGAAAGCTCTGGAAAAATACAATAGGCATATTCGAAACTGGAAGAATATCATATGCAGACCCCCCAATGCCCCCTCCATCCTCCCACCCAGACCACAACAATGACACTATGAGACCAGGCAGTCGTGTTTCATGGGATGGTTTAACTAAAACCAATTTTCCAAATGTCATAATTCTGTCTACATTTCTGACACGCCCCCATACACTGATGAGTATAGAGAGAGCAACCACTGCCTGCTGTTACACCTCACAGACAGCAGGTGGCAGAGTCTCAAGGGGAGACCATCTGAGAGTATGGTATGAAGGAAATTCAGAAAGTAAAGATTTAGCCTTTAAACACAGACATCTTCATGATACCTCTCTGCAGTCGGGGCCTCTCCTCTTTGCCAAGCAGGGTCATGTGATCAAACCACACTGCTTCATCTGCCTGAGATGAACCTCTGCCTCCTTTTTCAATTTTACAGGTCGCCAGATTAAACATTTCCTCATCAGACGCCAATTCGCACCTGCGTGTCAATGAGCCACAATCGACAGGAAAATGACAGGAAGCCGCATCCCCGCATGTCCCTCGTCACCAGGCCACTTTAATCCAGGTCATTATGCTGTCACCAAGCCAGAGGATACATCCCAATATCAGATCACATACTGTTGGTGGCTGGGTGGGGAAGCACAGCTGATTGGCACGGGGCATCCCTGGGCATGTCTATTTATTACTTACTTACCAATCACTCATTCTTATATTACACTGTCTTGTCTCTGATTGTGCTGCTGTGTCCTACTGCCGGCCCATGCAATTGTCCCCTCCCCCATAACTGTGGCACAACAGTTTCACTGACAATAAAACATGCAACCTGCATGAACCCCACTCTGTTGAATGGTTTGTGCTGTATTTTATAAAAGCTGGATTATTAACTGCTGAAGCTCTGACCAATCCATGAGCCGCTAGACTGACCTCGGAGGCTATCGTGGATTATGGGAAGGTGGAGAAACTGATGAACAGCTCTTCAGCTCTCCATCACTCCAGCTCTCCAGCTCTCCATCACTCCAGCTGCTGGCTTTCATTTCCAAAGCTACACAGTCAGACCCACAAGCACCTCCACACCCTCTTCTCTCAGACCATCATCATTCTAAAGAAGGACCCTCCTGACTTATTACCCTAATTTAACTGATGCACATGCACTTTATTACGAGCATTGAAATGTACACAACTACAGTCTATCCCATGCCATGTAAGAATAAGAACGTTTCCCAGTTTCCACTATTGCAGTAAGTGCACACATACATTTTAACTCATTACCTTGCACATCCTTTTATCTGCAGTCTGCGTATGGTCTTTTTATTAGGGTGCGGGAATCGATTAAAAAAATGAATTAATCACACGGTTCTCTGTGATTAATTATCAATTATCAATTAATCACACCTAATATTAAAACTTATAATGATAAATATTTATACATTGACTCTGCGAATGAATGTTGAATTACTGAGATGAGAAAAAATATGCATGGTATGTATATGTCTTATACAAATTAATTGCTTGTTGTGGGTTACACATACAAAGTTAAATGTTTTAAAAATAATTTGTCTATTTTGTTACTGATTTTTAGCTATCTTTTTCAGAAAAACGGTTAGCAAAAAAATCGGCAAATTAGAGCAACAAATGACAATTTTAATACAGATAAAAGTTTCAGGTAATGTCAATTGCTCTACACCAAAAACAAACACTTTGTTTAATGGTTTAACTTAAAATGTACAGGATATTCATCAACAAAGTACTACTTGCAAGCATGTACAAGTTGAATTTCAATGTTTTCAAAAAGGTTTTATTAAGAGAGAGGGTATTATAAGTAGGGATGTTTTTTAAATCACACATCTTAGCGATTATTGGCACATATCACAAGTACAACAGGCATCACAACCCATGCATGGCACCATGCGCACACACGGGAAAATGTGCACACAGAAAGAGACAGAGCAGACCACGTACACCCAAACATGGAAAAAGATGACAGATAAGCAAAAAGCACAGTGAAAGCTGGGACAGGGACAAGAAGGACAGGATGAAATTGGCTGGTAGAGAAATAATCGTCTAAAAAACCAGCGAGAGGGGGAGAGATGGAGAGACAGAGGGAGAGGGAAGAGGGAGTGAGGGAAAGGGAAAGACAGAGAGAGAAGGAGATGCAGAGGTGCAAAAGGAGGGAGAGGCAGAGGGAGTGAGGGAGAGGGAGTGACAGACAGAGAAAAAGAGGCAAAGGAAGAGCCAGAGGGAGAGACAAAAGGAGAGACAGAG